ACATACTGGACATTATTTAAAACAGCAAGTAAGTTACCTTTACATTAAATATTAAAATCATTAAATAAATAAATAAATCTTAAAAATAAATAATTTGCATTGTCTTCAAATTACAATTGTAATATTGTAATTCATAACTTCAAACTTATAATCACAAGTGGTAGGTACTACTTAGGCATACATGTATGATACTTAATTTAAATTTCTTATTTCTTGCATATTTTAAATTTTATAAGTACCATTATAATTTATAGGTGATAGGTGCGTAGGTTAGGTTATTATTATTTTATGACTCAGTAAACCTTCCTATTATTTTGTATATTAATATTTAATACAATATAATAGTATACATTTTATAACAGTATAACACTAGTACACTACTAATATTTTTTAAATAATTTAGTTATTGAAAAATAACTTCAGTATAGAATACATGTATAATATTATGTATTACTATTGACTACATTGCTGACAATATCTGTGTGAGCTTATGATTGTTATACATTTTTAATATTTCTGATCGATTTAACAATGGTTCATATTCTATTTTAAATTCTACTTTATAAGGTATTACTTGTAATGGAAAGATACAAAATAAGTCCTGCGCAAATATACTCCATAACTTGTGATAATGCAAGAAACATGGTGAAAGTGGTTGACTTATTCAATGAAAATTCTGAAAATAATGATGAACCAGTTGATGATACTGATGAAGAAAATATTTCAACATGGAAGACAGTAGTTATTTTGAAATTGAACATTTACTGTATTAACTATTAATATATTTTAATGTACTATCTTTATTAATTACAGATGATGATGTTTTGTCACAAAATATTCAAGATATGATAGGTACATCAGATATTGAGATGGGACCATTAACCACATGTATGAGATATGCAGTTCACACATTTCAGCTTGCCATTTATGATTCTATGAAAGACCATTCTATTCAAGGCATTTTGTCTAAAGCTCGTAAAGTAAATAAATTATAAAGTCAAATGATTTATGTAGATTTTGTTGTGCTTTATAAATTATTGTACTTTTTTGTAGTAAATAGAATAATATTACTTAACCTTATTGCCAAAAAACTAATAATTTTATATTTTGGTTTAGTTTATGATTATGGTTATATATTATATACTTATCTAATACAATATATTTACAATGGTTAGTTTTAAAAATTTAAAATATTTTTAATTGTTTTGTTAAGGCGGTGAAAATTTTAAGAACACAAACATACGCAGCCTGGTTGAAAAGGGAAGGATTAAAGCAGGCAATTTTGGACATTGAAACTTGGTGGAATAGTACATTCAATATGTTGTACAGACTTATAGAACTCAAACAATTTTGTGTGACTAATGAACAAATAATCTTATCTTCTAATGATTGGAATTTGGTTGGAAGGATAGTAAGTTGTTGTATATGCTGTCAGTATGAGTCTAAAATTTATGAAATTGTTACGAATTTACCAGGTTACAGCTTTAGAGCCAACTAAAATTGCCACAGTCCAAATGCAATCAAACTCGTTAACTCCTGGTGATGTACATGGTATTTGGTTAAAGACTTAAATTTCTTTATCAAAGATAAATATTCCACTCTCAAAAACATTAATAAAAAATATGGCTAAACGACAAAAACACATTTTTATGAATCCTGTATCTGAATCAGGTACCTATGACTTATGAGATAATGTAAATTGTTATTAAATCATGTTATATAACATTATTAACTAATAACTGTTAAGTAATAACTTTGATTATGCATAGAACTATGTGTAATCAATAGTAATAACTAATACCTAACTAGTTCAGTATTCAATTTTATACCGTGTATCTTAAATTCTAATGAGTAATAACTAATAGATAATTAAAAATATATATATATTTTAGCAATTTATCTTGATCCACGCTATCAACATTCAATGTCTGTTACATCAAAAACCAACACTGTACTTCATTTAGTGAGTACCTATAATTTAATGAAAAACATAAAAAATAATAATGATACAGTCCAAGACCAAAATACTGATGAATCTATAACAGAAACTATTGAAACTACTAATGAAAATATAGAAACAGGATTGGAGGAAAATGATCCTAATAATTTTCAATTATACTTGCAATCACTATCACAAGGTGTACCTTCATCATCTCAATCTTCTTTATCTAACACAGATACTATTTCTATTTCAACCTTGTCACTTCTGAATTTATATGACAACCAACCTATACTACCACATACAGAAAGTATTTTGTCTTACTGGGAAAGTAAAAAGTTTGAATGCCCTGAACTGTATGCTCTTTCTCATGTGGTTATGGCTGTTCCTACAACACAGGTATTGTAATTTATCATTTATCTTTACCAACAATAAATTATAAATGTCATAATTATTTATTTAAAATTCATATTTTTAGATTATAATTTTAAAATATTTATGTCTAAAGTATAAACTAAAGATTAAACTATTAGAGAATCCAAGAAATCCAATTATTTTGATTATTTTGATTTAGGTATCAGTAGAATGCTCATTTTCGTCTCTCAAGTTTGTGTTTGGAGATTTAAGATCCAGATTGGGTTTAGAACTACTGGAGAAAATAATGTTGATACGAGCAGATACGACCTAACCTAACCTACATATTATATTATTTAATACTTGTTAAGTATTTACAAATTATTATTTTATTTATACATTTAACAGACAGTTTTTTTGTTTATATACTTATTACCTATGTAGTAAAACGTAATTACGTGCCTACCAATAATTATAATTTATAAATTAGTATTTATGTTTAAATAAACACTGAAATCCACAGTTAAATGTATTAGCTTTTCTTAATAATTTAGCTGTATATATATATATATATTGTGGTTTATTTTTTATAAAAACAAGTATTGTCATATGAATAAATAAATAATTAAATTGTAAGTAATAGCTTATGAGTTATGACTTATGATACAAAAAGTATTAAATAAAATATTGTGTTTGTAAATGTCCAAAATGGATGAAAGAGAATGAATTTCAACTTCTAAATTCATACATTGCATGAAACCATTATAAGCAAGCTATAGTTAACATTTGATTATTTTAAGTTTCAATTTTGCATTATTTAGTTGCACATTTTTTTATGAAAATTAGACAAAAGAAATAATGTCACAAATAAAGAAGATACTTCAGAATATAATGGTACCTATATTATGTAAATGTATTCCCATTTCCTATTGTATTCTAACTATTTCAACACAGCCTCANAATAACAGAATTGTCAATACTCCAATAACCTTTTTTAGCAACTATCCATTTAAATTTAAATTTAATATTTTGTTCAAATATCATAAGCATAACATGAGATAAGATTTAACATGACATATCATGAGATTTATTATTCTGTATATTATTGTAAATTACAATTAAATATTAATGTAATGTAATTGAATAATGATCTCTATAATATGTTGTATGCAAAAGCAGGTAGGTACCTACTACCTACGTTATTGAGAACACGAAATTGGTTCTGCTGAACATAACTTGGCATATTGTGCGTACATTCATTCTACACAAAGTGTACAAATCGGATATATTTTAATTTTTAGGGCTTTAGGCTCAGCCCTTAATAGTTAATAGATAGATAGTAAAAATTGGGTCAACAGTTTTTAGATGTAGGGAAATTTAATAAAAATTTAAAACACCGTTTCAAAAACCAAAACCAAACATTTTCAAATTCTTGAAACCGATAAATTTTTTTAAAAACCTTTTTGAAACCAAAACCAGAAAATATAGAAAACCGTTCTCAAAAACCGAAACCGAAACCATTAAAATATGAAACGGTTTCGATCCCTGCAACATACAAATCTAAAATTATAAGATACAAATACAATATTATAATAATTATTTTATTTTATTTATTATCAATAATGGCACACTTTTACAAACAAAAAAATGTTTGTTGTATTATGTTATTTTACTGTTACAAATAAATTAAAGGTAGAACGTAGAAATATTGATTGTACTCGGATCAATTTTGTATATTCTCAGTCTCTTCGTACTCCATTTCTTCGTACTCAGTCTCTGTCAAGTCTATACAAATTGTGGGTGGTAGCTTATCGACTTCACTTTCCTTCTCACTGCTTTGGTCTGACTTCTTCGTAGTTTGTGCCAGGCTTCACAAAAGTGGCGTCGTAGAAGGAAGGCAGAGGGGCAATTGACCCCTCGGATATAATCCAAGGGGGCCAAAGTATACTTTTGCCCCTCCCCTACTACATTAAAATTAAAGAGTATACAATCGTAAATTACGTAATACGTTTAATTTATACGTTTACTTATATTAAGTAGGTATACTATTATAAGTATACTTATATTTATATTGATTGTACTCGTATCAATTTTGTATATTCTCAGTCTCCTTGTACTCAGTCTCCGTCAAGTCTAAACAAATTGTGGGTGGTGGCTTATTGGCTTCACTTTCCTTCTCACTGCTTTGGTCTGACTTCTTCGTAGTTTGTGCCAGGCTTCACACTGTAGATATTTTCGGCAGATTTATGGTTTGGACTTGATCTGGAACTATATCTACATGTTTACCTTTTGTATTTAAGTCCAACTGATCATGATGGGACAAATATCATCTTTCAAGTTGTTCGACATTTTTAGATGATTGTTAGCAAGTTCTAATAACATATAAAAAATACAACGATTTTAATATTATATTATACATTTAATATCTAGTAGCTGCTAATTATACATAAATATTTTGTAAAAATGTCAACTGTTAAACTCATACGAGTTAGTCACATAACTAGGTTAATAACTTAACTAATTACTAGTTAATTATTTAAGTTAACTAGTTAACTTATTATTATCGTCGAAGTCGAATAATTAAACGACAATGGTGCAATGTGCATATTTTAATCTCTATCATACTGTAGCACTCTGATGTGGGTACCTATAGTATCTTTTCGAATTAATTTCGAATATATTTAGACCATACCTTGTATGTGTGCAACAGTTATACTCATAATATATAATTGTTAATAAGTTTAATTTCTTGATGTATTATAATATTTACTACTATTTTGTATCATGATACTTTAGTTATTCAATGAACACTTTATTCTTGCATTCTTTCAGTAATCTATCTATCATTTATATTTAATACAGTTACCTCTAGGCCATAAGTGCATTGTCTGCAAGCTATTTTTACCTATAATCTACTAATGGAATCATCATGTGTTTTCAATATAGTTATTGTTTATGTATTGTTAATATTTTTTTTTACAATAAATATTGAACACTCTAAACATTTTACTCCTATATTATCTTTACCTATTTCAGTTTTGAATAACAATAACTTACCTATTTGGCTATTTAATTTTGTATTTATGCATTTTAGAATCACTCTCTGGTTGGATCAATTCGTCACAAGATCTCAAAATGTTTAAAGACATAATTTCCAATATTTTAAACACTGCCGCCAAAACCAAAACAAAATACCACCGTTACAGATGGAATCACTGTAATGCTATAGAATAAAATTTTATATTTTTAATTTACACATGTTAGGTATACAGAAATAAAAAAACATGATTTTTATTTAGTGATACTTGTATTTGTTTTAAAAACTATCCTTTTTCAAATAATAAAAAAAGGGGATAACTCTGTAACTGTTGTCCTGTACAGTACTTTTTGAGTAATTATATTCCATGAGTTATTTACTGTTACAAAAATATTATTTTTAAATTTAGATTCAATGGGAAAAAATTGAAATAGGAAAACAATTTTGAGCAAAGAAGATGGTTATGATCAAAAAAACATTTTAAATTCAGGGGTGCAATTTTTAATTAAGCACAAGTATTTATTGAGCTCACCCCCTTCCCCCGCCAGACTCAATATTAAGCAATTTTTATTAATGAATTTTTCATACATTTAATTTACCTATAATGGTAGTGCATATCCTACTTCTCCCAAATGGTCAAGGTCTGGTCATCGAATTTTAACTTTTGTTAACCGTCAATAAATAGACCTTACAACCGTCTCAACACCGAACTTGCACTTTTGTAGAACCGTCAATAAATGAACGTTGCAACCGTCTAAAAACCGAATTTACACCTTGCATACTTAGTATCGATGAAAAAGTAGCATTATTACATTACGGTTTATAAATGGTCGCTAAAAAAAAATTGTGTTCAGTATATTGATATAACGTATGTTATAATATATGTAGGTAGGTACTGCGCGGGCGTCTGTAGATATATAATTGTACGTACAACAAGAATAAAATGTCTATATTTATAAGCTATAACCTGTATCTATACCTTTTTTAAAGGGAAAAAACGTACCCTGCAGACGACAAAACGAAGTACCATTAGACCCGTCATTAATTTTGAAAGCTGTAAATTGTAATGCACCGGAATTTGGAGTAAATACATTTTGTCTATGTTGCACGTGAACCAGAGCAGAGGGATAACAGTGAGCTAACATCCTCTTAACTACGTAGTATGGTAATTAATTGTAAAATCAATAGATCTAGTTCTTAACATAATGTACTTATTGTAGTTGTATTTAATGTAAAATCGATGACTGGCAGTCTTCCTTTTACCATCGTTAAAAAAAAATATAAGGAAAAAACGAGATTTCTATACAAAACCAGTACTTATTATTTGACGAAATGTCGAAATCGATTTTGTTATTGGGGGGTCCACTTTATTTTTTTATAAAAAAAAAGCTGTTGTAACAAAATAGTGTAGACAAACAGAAAAAAGTATACAGAAGTTGAAAATTAAAGCACTCTACTAGAAAAAAAAAACACTCATTGTTGTAAAAAAAATTTAAAAGCCAAAAATCAAAATCAAATCTCAAGCATTTTATTGTAAGTAACCCTTTTGGTATTTCACCAAGAAAAAAAATGAATGCTGTACATTTTGTGATTTTTGTCATGTTACAATAGGGCACCCCTGGAAAAATTTCATGAACTTTATCTATGGTAACGCTTAATTTTACTGTAATTTAGATGGTAGGGTATTTATGGTACCTTTTTAAATGTATAACTATTATGAGAAATAATTTCAATTATTTTTTATATTGTTTCTATTTTGTAATATATGTAATTTGTTAAAAATTTATTTTTAATTTAAATTTATTTATTTTCTTTTAGTTATAAACTAATAACTCAACATTATACCTACCTATTATAACAATTCATTTATATTATCCTTCTTAAATTTTTTTCTCTTTAAAACTGTTTAATATAAGCCCTTGTATTGTATTTGTATAATTTTTATTAGTAATACCATTACTTGTATTATTACTTGTAATTTTTATTAAAATGCAGTCATACAATTTAGTATGAGTTCCTACTATTTACTTGTTTGATCGTTGATAATTGTTATTTTTGGCGAAACATAAAGTTATTATTATTATGCTAGGTAATTAGTTACAACATGATATTTTTCTGGAAAAAATTAACTTTCGTTCACGATAATACATCGACTTGTATAAAAATAACGTCAGCATAACATAATTATAATAACGGCCCCGAGCAGGGAAAACATTTTTCGGTAACAGTAATATTAGTAACCCATATGCATATTACGTAAAATTAATTAATTGTTTTAATTAAAACTATTGATCTATCCATTTACTTAAATGCACTGAATGATGGATAATGACTATGCACTCGACTCAGTTTTTGTTTT